CCAGAGGTCCCTTCCAACTCTTTTATTCTATGATTCTATGATATAAATTTGTTAGTCTCTAAGGTGCCACAAGTACTCCTTTTCTTTTTTCTATGTCTATGCATGATAGCTATAAACCTGTTCCCTTTGAAATGTACACACTTGTTACTCTAATAATTAAAGAGCTCACTGAAGGCTCAGTTTGCATCTCCTATTCCTGTAAATCGTCCCATGGCTTAACTGCGGCTATTTTGTGAGTCTGGAAAATTGCCTTCATTTTCTGTCACAACGACTCATCAGGCTTCATAGAATGAATTGGTTACTGTTAAGAAATAGTTGTCTGCCCCACGCTAAACTGGCTGACAGGGCTACACCACTGTGTTCTGTTAACTTGTTACAGTGTTTAAACTTTTACACAGTTGATCCTGCAACTCCAGGAAGGTAATTCCATAATATCTTAAATAATTTTAACAATGAGTAGCTTCATTTTTAAATTGCCAATGTTGTTCATATATCCCATATAAAATGCTATATTAGAATGCTTTTCAATGTCTATGCATGTTAGGTATAAACCTGTTCCCTTTGAAACGTACACACTTGTTACTCTAATAATTAAAGAGCTCACTGAAGGTCCAATTTGCATCTCCTATTCTTGTAAATCATCCCATGGTTTAACCTGGGCTGTTAGTGAGCATAAAGGTTGCTAAATCTATATGCCAAATCTTGCTGTTCTTACTCAGTCCCTCTACAGGCATCACCCCATTGAAGGATTTGGCCATGTACTAAGTAATGGATACATTGACAGGCTACCAGATCAGAAGATGGGGTAATCTAGTCAAAGCAGCTCAAGTTTTAACTTAAATTAGCTTTGTGGTCCAGCTTTACCTCATGATTGGCAGAGTACTGTCCTCATCACACTTTATTTAATGTTAGCTCAGTACATCCAAGTAAAAGATGTGAGTACAAGGTAACGGCATAGCTCATTTGTCTCATCAGAACAGAATAATCCCTGTACCAGTAAGTCAGTGCTGCGAGACACTGACGTAAAAGCTAACCTTCAGGTATTAAAATGAGACCACAATCAAATGGTGCAGGAAAAGAAAGAGCAAGTGAACGCAAAGGCAAAATTTGCTCCCACTTACAGGGGTTCAGATCCAGAGTAGCCCCATTGCTCGCTCATAGACGTTAGAATGGTGCAACTGCGAGCTGAAATTGGGCCGCAGTTTAGTCGGCAACTCTGTGTTAGAACAAGGCGTGAGACTTACTGTAAATAATGTAGCTGTATTAAATCTACAAGGCACTGTAAAGGCCAGTGAGTATAATTACAGTCACAGAGACCATGGGCCAGTTCCTCAGCTGGCCTAGTTGTGTTGGTTTCCGTGGAGCTCTCCCGATTCACGCCAGTCGAGGATCTGGCCTGATGTTTAGTGCTGCGTAAGCCAACTGTACTTGAACAAACTGTTCAGAGAACTGCTCAGCAGACAGAGTGCAATGCAAATACATAGGGGGGAAACAGAGAAGGAGCAAAGGTGCAGCAGGTATTAAGAGAAGAGAATGAAGTGAAGGGAATGAATATCAATGAGAAATGTCTCATGTAAAGATCTTTATACACTAATAAAACTTAGTCAGATTCAGCCCGCACTTACACTCCATGAAATCAGTGGGTCAAATTCTGCTCCATGTTCCACCTGTGTAAATGTAGAATATGTCCATTAACTTCCATAGAATTACAGTAGTTTACATGGGCAAAACAGAGCGGTGAATTTGGCCCAGTGGATTTGCAAAACAAAGTGTAAAGCAGGCCAGCAATGGGGCAGATGCTTTTCCCTCTAGCCACGAGGTAGTACTCCCTATTTATGGGACCACTAACACCAGAGCTGCGTTTTTAAATTCACTTGTGAATACATATTAGCACTCCTTTTTCCTGTGTACGCTACACCTCAACTCATAACTAACTGAAGAATAAAATCACTCACCTTATTACTAGGCTTGGCAGGATTTGATTTAAATCACTAGTCATCGGTAAACATTAATTTTATCAGAAATAGATGCCAAAAATATCCATTGATTGCAGTTGGCAAGCGCAGCCTCCCCTGCACCTAGCACCCTCAGGCATTCAGATTTCAGGAGGCACCAGGTGTGGGGAAGGCTGCAATTCTTGTGGGGCAGAGCAGAGATCCCAGCTAGGACCACAAGGAGAATGATTAATTCCCAGCTGCAGGGGAGGCCACCACCCCACTGTTGAATGGCTCCTGCCCAAGGACAGTCCCTGCATTTACAGCGAGTGAGTGAGCGGGGCAGTGATAGTGGGAATGCAGGGGCTCCCTGCGTGGCCCTGGGGTTGGTGACAGTGTGGTGGCTTCCCCTACGGCCAGGGGCTCATCCTCTTCCTTGCATTCCTGGCCAGGGATCTCTGCTCTGCCCTGCCAGAACCGCAGCCTCCTTGCACCTGCAGGGTTCGGGTGTCACTAAATAATTGTTCTCTCACACTCACACACACCACACATACACACAATTAATTTTGCACAACTGTGAAAATTCAAATAGAAAAAAATGTTAAAAAATGCTTTAAAAACCTATAATCTCACACAACCAAAAACATTAAGTTGATAAAAATTGGTATCTTAGTGAAACAACAAAATGAAAATGAAATTCTCCCAAAACTACTTATTACACATTCCACCCATGTTGTTTCTTTCCTGTGAACTGTTTCTGCTGTAGACTGGTGAATGTGGCCTGCCTTAGGATACACAGGCCAGGCTCCCATTAACCTCAGAAGGAGCTATGAATGTCCATAGTGCAGACAGATTACAGTGGATTTGCAAAGAGCATCAATCAGGGCAGAATTTGCTCAGGACCGCAATTTTTTGTTTTGTAGGGAATAGCAGCACAGGTATATGCTTGTTTAACAGGGTTGCAAGGTAATATAATGGGACTCTTGTGAGTTTCCTTAGCATGTCTGTTCCTCTGGTCTTACTTATTTTCCTTGTTATTGCATATGAAGACAATATAGTCATCTGATTTGTCAGCTTTTTCATAATGATCATCTTATATTACAAGCTTCCTCTTTGCACTAACTTACCGATAACAACGACTGAATCTATTAGCAGGACTAAAAACAGTGAAAAGAACTATATTTCCTTTACCAACAGCACATCCTTTCCAGAAGGGACAGTAAGGTGACCAGATGTCCCAATTTTATAGGGACAGTCCTGGTTTTTGGGGTTTTTTCTTATAGAGGCTCCTATTACCCCCCACCCCATCCCGATTTTTCACATTTGCTGTCTGGTCACCCGAAGGGACAGAAGGCTGTGACCTACCCACATACAGTGTGGATGGTATCCACACAACTGATAGTTTTATCTGGGGGGGGGGCGCTTTGTACCCAGGGGGCAGTCGGGGAAGAGGGCTTGGCCTTGCACTATGTATGTTATTTGCAGTGTTGTAGCCATGTTGGCCCCAGGATATTAGAGAGACAAGGTCGGTGAGGATATATCTTTTATTGGACCAACTTCTGTTGGTGGAAGGGACAAACTTTCAAGCTTCACAGAGCTCTTCCTCAGGTCTGGAGAAGGTAACCAGAGTGTCGCAGCTAAATACAAGGTGGGACAGATGGTTAAGCATAAGAGGTTCACACATGCTGTTGGAGATCACTTAAAATGAAGGGGTCTTGAATGTACTCTCACAGAAAAATGATAAAAGACAAAAATACCCTGTCACCCATGGGTGAACACTTTTCACCCACTCCATGTCTGACCTCTCTGGTCTTGTCCTCAAAGGAAACCTGCACAACACCTTCACAAGATGAGCCTGAGAACTTAAATTCATAACGCTGCTGGACTTAACATAAAAACCATGGACTTAACAGAGACACTGGTTTTATGGCTCATTACAACAATTTGTAATGCTGCTGTCTGCTAACCCTTAATTGCCTTAACCATTTTAAGTGGTCTCCTACAGCATGTTTGAACACTTTATGCTTAACAATCTGTCCCTCCTTGTATTCAGCTTGGACACACTGATTACCTCCTCCAGACCTGAGGAAGAGCTCTGTGAAGCTTGTCCCTTCTGCCAACAGAAGTTGGTCCAATAAAAGATCTTATCTAACCTACTTTGTCACTCTCGTTATGTACACAAGTTTACCATATTCTCAGCCTGACCATTTGTCTGCACTCACTAAATCTGGGAAACTTTCAGAGCAGGTTCTTTTTAGCCATTCATATTGTTGGAAATGCTGTTAATTATAGCAGAGCAAGATGATGCAAGCAGCTTGGGATGGTATTTAAAACGCAGGGCCTGATCCTGTAACCCTTACACAAGTAGGGTTGACTCATGTGAGTCAGGTTACTTGCATGAGCACTGGCTCCTGAAGATGCCCTGAATTTGTCCCAGAGGAGGACTAAGAATATTCCCGTTTGGGTTTATGTACCTCTCTCACCTTCAAGAGGAGAAGTCTCTTAATGATTCTAGACCTCTCTAGTCCATCCTCTAGTATCTGAGCATGGAACTGTGAAGCAGAATCTCCTGGATCCAGCTCTGGCTGATTCCTTCTCTGACCTCATCAACTCACTTGGCCACTCTGCTCTCAGCGTGCTGGAATGTTGGGAGACTTAGTTAGTACAGGTTTGTAGAGTGCTGCTGTATTAGTGGCCAGTCACAGCGGTCATTCATGAGACACCACCTCCAGGGTATTTTCAGTATACCAAGATTCGTTTGCTGCAAGAGCACTTTTCTCCTTAGCTTTCAGTTAAATCAAGGGGGAATATTTGAGGCAGGGAACTTGACTTGGGGTTCTCACATCCTAAAGGTACCTCCTTTTTCCTACAGAATGGGAAATAAATGTACGTGAGGTTTAGACACTCCTACGCTGGAAATATTTTCATGAACAGTTCTTAGGGTCTGATCTTGTGAGACACTGGGGACCTCCAGAGAGGGGCGAAGTATCCTTAGGACTTCTCCTGTTTTTATGATCTGAAATAACCCCTTTGGGGGTACTAATGGCATTTCTTGTTTCCATTTAGCCATGTAACACAGACGACATCATGGATCCATCCAGTGACCAGTGCACTGAACTTGTCCTGCTCCGAGGAGAATGAGGAAGACCGGACCAGAGAGCTTCCAGACCCCAAGAGCTGAGACTGGTGGAGAGTAGTTTCAGTCTCATTTCAGCATCTGGATAAGAAGATGTACACCTTCCAATAGTCTAATGTAATAGCGCCAGATATTACGCCTATTGAAGTCAATAGGAGCTTTGCCACTGATTTAGGTAGGATCATTTTCAAGGCTGAAGTTCACCTTGACAAAATTTCCACTTAAACCCTTAAGGACTTAGGTGGTGCACAGGACCTGGATAAGTCCTGTGCACAGGGGTCACTCTCACTCTCATCCTTTAGGATTTGATCCTGACCTTTCACAACTTATACACTGGTATAACTTCATTGGCTGGAATGGAGTTAATCCTGCTCCTAGTATGAGAACAGAATTGGGCCTAATGGCTGTAATTCTCACAGTGGCTTCAAGCTGCTTGTAGAGCCATAACATACAAGCTGAGCTTTTTTACCAGTGCTTGTAGTTGTAATAGAGATGCCTTTTCTGTAACTACTGAGTCAGTCTGTTTTTATAGCAGAAACTTTCAATGTATTTTGCCAGCAAAAGTTTAAGACAATTTGTTGTAAGTATTGCAGCCCAGATGACTTTTCTACAAATATTTTTAAGATGAATGATTAGGCCTTAGGAAGACAAGGCCTTGATGAGTTGTCAAGTATAAAGACACAATTTTGGTTGAGAAAGCCATACTCTGTCAGCATAATCGTGCAATGAAAATGATTTCACTTTTGTACTCTGCTAAACCTACAGCCACATGCAACTATTTCAGCAGACGCTGTGAAATTTCAAATACGATGAAACCTATGAAAGTACCTCTGGGATCAGCAGAATTCAGTCACCTCCTAGAAGTGGGTCTTTAAGTAGACACAAAACAAATTCATTCTGGAGATCTTGAGGATGTTTTAAAGGGGTTACTCAAAATGAGGTGCTGCTGAGGCCCTACAAACAGGTTGCACTGTACATCAGCAGCATGAGATATTTTAAGATAATGTTACACTCAGCACAAGGGCTGACTTCTGCTTTGAGTGCCTGATTCTACAATAGGTCACTATAAAGGCTCTCCTCTTTTTATATCTGTGACGATGACAGGTATTGACTAATGAATGAAATAAGGAACACTAGAAGCACTGATGAATACGCCAAAGTAAAACAGTGGTTCAAACCTTTAGAACCAAGGAGTGAGGCTCTGTTTTAAAGGGTGAGGTGGGCACAGGCTACAGCCTGAATTCCTTTGGGAAGCATACATAGGAGTGTCACACTCTGAAAAGATACAACTTAGCTCCACTGGTCAATTCAAAGCCAGGTCCCCATCCCTCACACCCTCAATGGGGAGTCTCTGACAAGTGGTGGAGCTGGATTTTCAAATCTTTGTACTATTGAGCAAAAGGACCTGACTTGTTTACAGCTCCTACACCTACTAAAACTCTCCTTGCCACCTTCCCCTCACACCCGGTGCAGAGCCAGGCACAGGGTAGCTCTTAGGCCTTTAACGTTTAATTTGCTTTACAGAGCAAAACTCCGAGTAAACCTCCTTTCTGAGTCACAGTGTGGCTCTTTATCGTATATGCTTCATGTACGACGGCGTCACACCCGGGATAGCCCCTCCCAGGGAATCTGTACTGCGGCGCAGAGAAGTTAGTTTTGCCCAGTCTCTCTCAGAAGCAGATGTCATTCCTAGTGCTGAGCAATGTCATACTCACTCGGGAGGCTGGTAGGAAACGTTGTTGTGTTCTTTTAAGGGCCAATTACCTATGCATGTGGAGTCCGTGTCCCTTCATGTAGCTGGTAGAGGGAGGATGTTATGGAGGGAGCTTGACCAGCAGATCCACTGAACACTCAGTATGACAGCAGTCTGGAAAGCTGCCATGCTTCAGCCATGATCTGCTATGGCCTCAGAGGGAGGATTGTGCCCCCATCCCTCAAACCACCACATAGAACCACTGAGCAGAACCCATTAGCAGGGGCTTTGTGTCGAGCTATAATGGGCCCTTTAATCATGCCGTTCTTCCCTAAATGCCCTTTAAAAACAGGCACAGACTCCTGCTGCTTGCAGGACCTTGTACCAGGGGTTTTCTGCAGTTTCCTTAGTCCTAGGAGTCATGTAAGTGCTTTGTTTATTACAGAGCTAAGGTGGATGGGGTAATTTCTTTCCTTGGACCAACTTTTGCTCTCTTTCCGGTGCGTGAGAGTTACGCGGTGGTATCTTGTTTGAGGCGGTCCCTTCTGGAGTATGTGATGTTTATTCCAGGCACTTTCTGGCTCTAATCAGGGATTTCCTACGAATTCTGTTTAGTTAGGGCATATATAGACTGTGCCGCTCTGATTTCTTTGTGAGAGATTTGAATCAGGTCGTGACTACGCTATCCTTCCAGGGCTTGATTCAGCCATGGGTTATGGTAACTCAAAGTACAGGTCGGTGGTCACAACTCCACTCTGCCAGTGGCTTCCCGGCCAGCCAGCCCAACCCTGAAAGTGGATGGGGGTAAGGCTAGGACCATGAACGAGGCAGGCTCCACCCATTGGATCCACTGCAGGAGGGCAGCTATGTGAATGCTACCTGCTCGCCCCAAGGAGTGAACACTGACCCTCTGCCCTGAGTATGCAATTCACTGCTTACTGCAGCAGCGAGGGAGAACCCAAGATAAAATGCTGGCATTCTACCTGCTGTGCTTACTTGGAGAATGTTTCTCTTTTATTTTGACTTGATAATTAAAGACTTCTTAGAAACAGATCATTGCATCCATCTAGTTTCTTCTGTATTCTAGTGTCTCATCAGTCACATAAGCTACCATAGCTCATATTCTCCAGCACTGAGACTGTGTTTTGAAACCTGGGATCTCCAAATGTTCTCGTCTATTTTTGTATGTTGGCATACTTGTTTCCTAGGGTGTTTTTTTTTTCCTCTCACTGAAGCAGTTTGCAAAATAATTTTGATTACACTGAATCCTGTAAAGTGGGAAAACGGCTCTGGAATAATGTAATGAGACTTTGTAAAGAGCAGTTGTCAAAACACACAACTCTGTGATGGCTGCTTTACATTTTTACCACACAATGAAATGTACCGAGTGGAAGAGCAATGGAAGTACAACTTTGTATCCATTAAGAGAACGAAACAAAGGCGTTGCCAGAAAACAGATACTGGAGTACTTCAGTGGCTTCATGTACATCTATTTTCTATGTACGGTTGACACCATTATAAATAGGCTTCTGCAACACTCCAGTATTTACCTTTACAATTGTACCTGTAGTACACTGCACCCTTCAAATTGGAAATGTTGCAAGTACTCAGGTGTTGCAGTGACTGGAATAAACAGGCAAATTAGACACAAAGGTCAAGATGTACAAAGATATTCAGGCGCCTACAACTCTTACTGACTTCAGTGGGAGTTAGGCACCTAAATATTTCTGAGGCTCTGGGTCAAACTGCAGCTGCGAAATGCCTTCCTTTTAATTCAGCCCAATGTATCACTTTAAAAAAAAAAGGGTAGATCACTCCCACACCATACACACACAGAGAAACCACCCTGAGCATCCCACTGTAAGTTTCAATAAGTCACTACAGATGATTGTTTCACATCCTCTGACATACCACACAAAACCATCATTAGTTAGGGTGAACCCACCACCACAAGGCCTATGCACCACTCAGGCCCTCCAGGGCCCAATTCTGCAGGACTAAAGTCAGTGGGAATTTTGCTATAGATTTCAGTGGGAGCCTTGAGGGTAGAAGTGGGATCGAAGTGGTACATAGCCCTTGTGCTGTCCTCTGCGCAGCACTGAATTTCACTATAACATCTTACTTAAGTAAAGCCGCTCTCAAAGGATGACCCTGCTCACACTTGGCTTTCGAAAGCCCTTTGTACTATCGGAATCTTATGGAGTGACTGGCCACGCTGCCTTGTATTTAAAAAAACTCCTAAAGTGATGTAAAGCTCTGATGCTCCTTTCACAATAAAGATCTCAGTGATATAAACCACTTGTGTCTCTTTTATAATTAGCCCCCACAGCTTTGTGATATTATCCACGGCAGATTATGCAGCTGATCGACTCCAGGTCTTGCTCATCTTATAGAATTGTAATGAATGAAATCTTTTAGACTAGAAAAGGGAGTAAATGACAGCAGGCCAAGCCTGTCTGTCCCATTCCTTTAATCTTCTTTGTACAAAGGTGACTCAAAATGCGCCTTTGGGAAGGAATCTAGAAAACCGACAGGCCTTTCGAAAAAGCAAATCCTGTGTTTCAATCCTGCAATGATTTCCACACAGGCGACCCCCCATGGAGCCCCAGTGACTTCCTTCAGGAGTCCGCTCACAAGGATTCAATAGCAGGGTGAGGCTCATGTTTGTAATCACCTGCTTACAAGGAGGCAGCTTAGTCCAGTAGGGCATTGGCCCGGGCGTCCTGTTCCCAGCTCTGCCACGGACCTGCATGATCCTGGGCAAGTCACCTCAGCCCAGATCCTCAATGGTATTTAGGCATCTAGCTCCCACCGATTTCAATGGCACTTAAATGCCAGGGAAGATCTGCACCTCTCTGGGTATCCGCTTCCCATCCCACCCTCTAGCTGTCTTGTTCGTTTCGATTGTCGGGTCTTTGGGGCCAGGCCTTTGTCTCACTCTGTGTTTGTACAGTGTGTAGCACAATGTGAGTCCTCAGTTGCAAGTGGGACCTCGGGGCACCACCATAAGTCAAATAATTAATAATTACCATAAAGAAAAAAGCAAAGGGATGGCGCTTTGTCGTTCCCTGAAACACACGCCATTGCTGCCGTGGCGTGTGCATTGGCTGGTTTACTTCAGCGTGTGTTTGGCTCACGGGAGCTATGTATTGCCTGGCTACGTCTACGCCACAGGCCCAGGCCTTGTCTCCTAGGTAACCAGGCCTGCTGAAGAGCATGTATTACTGTTACCGAACGGGTCTTTGCTGGGGGGAAACGGCAACGTTGTTTTGCTCGGGAAGGATAAATGTGTCAGGCCAGGGATGAGAGGCCAGTTCAAGCTAAGCAGCTCATGCTGAGCCGCCCCATGTAATGTTCACCAGCCCTTAAATGCTTCTCATGCCAAGCAGTTTTATAACTCAAACAAGTGATTCATTATTTTACATTAAGCCAGTTTCTGACAGACGGGGGCGGGGAGGAAAGGCAGTTGCCGCTGAGGTGGGGAAAACCCTCATTTGGAAGATCGTTAGTGAGTCAGTTAATAAGAGCAGCAAATAGGAGAAGCACCAAGGTTATGCTGCGAGAGGCCAATGACAAGGAAGTTGGCCTCCTTATCTATCCCATACTTAAGACACAGCCAAGTTCTGTTCTCACACCCTTAACTATTCCCTCTTCTGGGTAATGGTTGTTGCCAGATTATAGGGTTGATCAACACTCAGAACTGCAGGTGAAACTACTCAGCACCCCTCAGCGTCCTGCATTGGGCATCCAAAATCGGCAGCCCCCGCCTTTTAAAATGTTGGCCTCTGTGGCTTGTCCTACATTATACATTGAGTCGGTGGCAAAATTTGGTGTAACCCCAGGAATCCTTATTCTAAGTCCTACGGTCTAACCCCAAGACAACTCCCCCTTCCCAGATCATTTACCCACCAGGTAATTTTGAGTAGCATGCTATTCTGATGCTCAGAGCCAGAGCCCGGTCTGGTGTAATTCTGCATTGGGTTAAATGGAGATACATAGATCTACGGAACTGGAGCAAGCTTCACAGAAGTATTTAGACATCTAAAAATGCAGACTGAGTTAGGCGCCTAATCTATTTTAAGGATAAATAAATTGGTTAGCCTCTAAGGTGCCACGAGTACTCCTTTTCTTTTTGCGAATACAGACTAACACAGCTGCTACTCTGAAACCTAATCCATTTTAGTGCTTTTGAAAAGCCCACTGAGTGCCTAGAGAACAGGAGGACTTGTGGCACCTTGGAGACTAACAAATTTATTAGAGCATAAGCTTTAATGGGCTACAGCCCACTTTATGCTCTAATAAATTTGTTAGTCTCTAAGGTGCCACAAGTACTCCTGTTCTTTTTGGGGATATAGACTAACACGGCTGCTACTCTGAAACCTTAGCGCCTAGCTGCACCTTGAGTTGCTTTGGCCTTTGGTCTTAACCATCAGATGGGTGGAATGATACTATGCTAAAAATTAAATGTCAGTGAATGAAGCCTAACCACTATTCTCAATAACCAGCTTTTTGTTTTCATGTAATGCTGAAAATACCGGCCATTTACAGGTTGTACAATCCAGATTCTTTTTCATATTTTTGGCAGTTTGATCTTTTGCCACTTACTCAGGATTCTTCTCCAAACACAAGCTGAAGCTGCCACTGATTTAATAAGTTGATTTTTTTTTTTTTTACATTCTTTTGGGATGACCTGCTTTATTACACAAGAAAGATATTGACATTTCTATTAAAATTTGATCAGACAGAATTTTGCATCACTCACCAGACAGCCAAGTGCTTTAAAACAAATGGCTCTAAAGCCACAGGAATGATACCGTTAATTTTTCATCAATTACAAATCAAAATAGACCCACATCAGACCCCTTACTCTTCCCCATGCCCATGAACATTGGTGTACAGTTTGGAAATGAATCTCTCCCTGTGAGCTTGGATTTGGGTCAGATCCAAACAATAAGGGGCTTGTTTATGTGAAAATTTCAAAACAAAGTACTAATGAGGTTTTAGCATCAGCCTCTGCAAATGCTAACTCTGAATTGAGCTTGCACCTCAGCCCAAACCTACCAAAGCTCTCAGCACCAGTTCAGCCAGTTGGCCTGTGTCTAGTTCCCAGTTTAAGGATTAATCGCATCCAAACAACATATGCTTAAGTGCAGCCTGAACAGAGATGATTTCGTGAATCAGGCCCTGAGTCTCCTATTTCTACACATGTGCAGCTGTCATTATCCTTAGGGGAGGGATGACAGTGTACTCAATGGTTAGAGAAGGAAGCTCAGAGCCAAAACTTTGGGACTTTATTCGTGGCTCTGCCAATGACTTGCTACATGACCTAGGGCAAGCCCCTTAATAGCCCTGTTCTGTAGTTCGCTCATTTGTAAAATGGGCCTGATGTGCATAAGCCCATCTTTAAAAGTTTTTAGTGTCAAAGGTGATCCACCTACCAAGTCCGTCAGGAAAGTGTTTACTAGGAAAATAAAAGTCACATCAGCAAGAATTTGGCCGCGCGTCTTCCCCAAAATGTAACACATTCCATTTTTGTCTTGACAATTACAGAAAGCTAAGAATGCTGCAACACTGGACAATTGTGATTAGGTGACACCACATTACTCCTTGGGGGGAACTTCAGTTTATGGGAATGAGCTGATAGGAAGTTTCTATTGAAGTGAATGCTTAGGGGAGTTGTACGATGATTGATTCTGACTAGAGAGAAAGACTGGATGCTACTGAGTTGTGTTTAGGTTGAATTTGCCTGGAGATGTGCAGCTTCTGTCACCTCTGAAGGGAAAAACTTGATGCCAGAGCTGGGGCATGAGATCACTCTTCAGTCATACTGAATCCCTTGTTCAGTTTTCTGCCTAGAGGTCACAGGGTTTGATCACTCCAACATGGGCAATTATTTTCCAGTTCAAAGGGAGACTGTAAAGTCTCCACTAACTGCATCACAGACAAGTTGGTACAGACTGAAACAAGGATATTCTTGCTTGTAAATAACAACAGCTGGGATTCCTTAGACTCTGGGATTTGCGTTTGGTTGGGGGAGGCAATCTGCTGCTGAAAAAAGCAAACTCTGTAGCTGCTAACACATGAGACACTGGGTGTTGTTTAAACTCCCACCGTGCTGGGAAAATACATCAGTGCAGGAATGATCTGGGGTGAAATCCTTCCCCCCGAAATCAACAGTTTTGCCACTGACTTCAAAGTGGCCATGCTTTCATCCTCTGGCCTCCTGAGCTGTGAAAGGATCAGCAACAGTGTGCTATGCTGGTTCACCATTATGGCACAAACACTTCCAGCTGCTCTGGCTGTATTGGCTTTCTTCAGAAATCAGTCTGTGTTCCTCAGCTTTGCTGATGCACAAATACCAGCCAGAACGTTACAGAGCTTGTTAAGATGCATGTGATTTTAAGGGACAAGAAGCAAATGGCCATCAGTTGTAACAGTAAGAGTGCAGGGACGTGGAGCAGGGTCTTGGAAAGCCAGCCAGTTGAGATTCTTTTTTACCATGAGCCTAATTAGAGGATTCCTTTTTTTAATCCAGAAAATTGAAACACATTGCAGCTACTTGCCGATCCCCTTGGCGAGATAAAGCCAAGAGCATTGAGCCCTCCAGAAATAGTAAAGGGTTCAGTCTCTAAACACCATGCTGATCTGCATTTATTAAGCACTGTTCCATGTCACTGTGGACTATTAGGTACTGTAATTAGTCACCATGGGAGTTATGCATCCCAAGTCAAAGGCAACTGTACATAATTGATGTCATGGTCTATTACCAGAGGCAGAAAAGCCCATTAAGAAGGCAGCCTGTTGCTCTCAGAACTTATTGCTTGAGGGGAAAAATAATTTGAAATTAATTACAACTTGATCTAATAGAATAGGAAATAGGATACAAAACAGGGAGGGGCAGAGTACAGTGAAATTGCTACTTGGCTAATGAAAACTGAGACCAAAAAGGGACAATATTATCATTAAAGAAGACAGTGTAAGTGTAATTAACCTCATCTTCATCATTTCTCCATCCGTTTGCCTTTGTGCCATGTATTCTAATCAAATTTCAATGGAGGTAGATGCCTAAATAGCTTTGAGCCTTATGGAACCTACTTATCTGGGCCTTGGTGGTTTCACATTAACCATTTGGATCCTCCTCCTCCCCCCAAAATGGGCAGGTTTCAAACCAAACTAGCTAATTATTAGTAAGTTTGCAATAGGACCCAATCCTGTACTGGGCCCCTGGAAGATGCATTAAAATGACCAGGTCAGGCTTGACAAAGCCCTGGCTGGGATGATTTAGTTGGGGATTG